GAGGCAAGTGCGCCACTCCCTTCCTCCCTCGCATCTCTCGGTGGTCTGGTCATGGCACGAACAGACCTTTTGCAGATTATGAAGACCGCATGGAGGAATGTGTGTTCCGCCCTTTCACTCAGCTTCTTTCAGGCATTTATGTGGTTCCATTCTATTTTTCCGAGGCTCGCCATGTTGATTTCTCCCTCAACAGTGTTCAGGCCAACTCCCTTCTTATTTGCTGCTATGATACGCCCCGGATTTCTACCCTTGTGGAACAAGGAGGGCAAGTCCAGCGTCATCTATTGACCGGACAAGGTCCCTGAGCAGTTCGGCATGGATCAAGGCGTCCCACATGCCCCTCCGCTTCAGACTGATTACCACCAGAACTTTCAGCGATTTGCCCGTGATTATACCGCTCTACTTGTGGAGGGCTTAGGCTTCATGGAGCTTCCCTCACTTGGAAGAGAGGGCGCCTTTACTCCCAATAAAAGGTTGTTCTGGCACCGCAAACTCAATTCTTTCTTCAACTTTTGCAACAGTGCTCCCATAGTCCCTGCGATGGAACCCATCCCGCAGCTTGACTTATCTCTTCGTCTGCCCTCTGGCCGAGGGAAACAGACCAGTATATTCTGTCGCTTCAAGCTTCTATCCCTGACTACCGTGGAGAAGCCTCACCCGTTTGGAACAAATTGCTCCCCCTCAAGTCTGCACGACAGTTACAGACGACCCGCTCCAGACTAAGGGCAGCCCAAGAGGCAGCATCATCGATTGCCGAGGCACGTGCCTCACCAAATAAGAAGAGACTCCGAAACGTATCCATGCTTAGAAAATATTTTGCATTGCTTCCTTGGACTTCTTACATTTACTTTGGTAATCACATAACCTTTTTTCTTTTCAGGGCCCACCGGCCATGCCACCGACCCCGGAGGTTCTTCTACTGACATCGGACTTTCCTCAGATTCAGACGACGACAATGACGAAGACCTTCCCACTGCTACAAGCGTCACAAGGTTCAGGACCCGCAGGGCAGTACTTCCACCCGAGACTCCCAATAGGGAAATATACCAGCATCGAGAGTAGCCACTGGAAAAGAAATCGCTCACCACCTCCCTTTAGAGCATAAGACAATTCTAGTGGTCCCCAGATCCACTGTCAAGTCTACTCTTATTGGTTCGTTAGCAGACCCACTTTCCGAACG